TGTGAAACCACTGCATTGGTGGGTGACTTAATCGTTCCGGTGTTCAACCACGCGGGGTGGTGTTCACGAATCCGTTCGGACAATCGCCTGACCGTGCGGCCTATGTACGTTGTTCCACAGGAACAAGTAAATGAGTATACACAGAATGAGACCGCAGAGTCTGGAACTTTGTCCTTCAGTCGCAAACACACAATTGGCCTGGACGTGAACAGCACACGGAGCTTAGATGCATAGAAAGTCTTATCGATTGCGTCAGATAATCTTCTTTGTATGATCTCGGCTGATGTGTCCCCTTTGAACGGTAAAGAAATGTACACTGATTTTTTCTTAACCTCGGTGTTTTGTAAAGAGTTTTCCGTGCACTGAATCATCTTGTTGACTAAACGCTCCGGATATCCGTTACGTGCAAAGATCGATTTTACAGTACGGAGCTCTTCTTCTAGCGTGTCCTCATTGCAGATCTTTCTTGCCCTATTAGCTAGACAGCGAACCAGGTTTCTTTTTATCTCCAGTGGCACAAAGCTTCGGAAATAAATGTATTGGTCTTTTCACGTTGCCTTTCTATGCACGGAACGCTGCACTGAACTATCTGATCGACGGGTGATGCAGACATCTAGAAACGGCAGTTTGTTGTTACACTCCATTTCTAAAGTAAATGTTATGTTGGGATGCGCATTGTTGAACCTGTTTAATAGTTCCGTTGCATTTGATGTTGCACCGATCACACAATAAATATCATCTACGTACCGTGTGTATAGTACACAGTCTTCGATGGATGATTGCAATTGAGTGTTTTCAAGCTTCGCCATGAATAAATCCGCGAAAAGCGGTCCGGGCGGAGACCCCATGGCTACGCCATCCTTTTGTCGATAGATCTCATCGTTAAATTTGAACTGAACGTTATACGTGCAGAAATAAAGCAGTTGTTTAAGGTCACCCAAAGGGAGGCCGAGCTCTACATTATTGGTTCGTAAATAACTGCACAGGTATTCAATCGTTTCGCCGATGGGAACGTTTGTGAACAACGAGCTGACGTCCAGCGAGAGCCTTATTCGATCGAATACGTTTATGTCACAAATTTTGTCCACAAAAATAAATGTATCTTTGACACAGTGTTTTGCCAAACTAACTGGAATGGGTTCTAATAATTTGGCCAACCACCTTGCCAAGGCATGATATGGTGAGTTGCACATATCCAAAATCGGACGTAATGGCACTCCATCTTTGTGTACCTTTGGCAATCCATACAACCTTGGAATAACAGTCCCAGTTGGCCTAATACGTTCGAAAAGGGATGCATCAATGACTCCTCTCTGCTTTAAACATCGCAAAATCTCGGAAAGCGCCCCTTCTATTTGAGCCGTCTTATCCTTCTCCGTCAACTTGGTGAATTTCGACCGATCACTCAATACGGTATTCATCTTGTCTATGTAGTCCGTTCTATTTAGCAGCACGATCCCCGTCCCTTTATCCGGTCTGGATATTATAACTTCTTTATTTTTCTGAAGTTCTCGTAATCGTCTGATATGTTCTGTAGTTACTATTCCATTTGTATTTAGCTTGACATTCTGATGCCGCATTTACTAAGGTAGATTTGAGCCTTTCCAACTCCAATGATGAAGAAGGAACCAGGTCAAAAAGTTGCGCATATAAGTTTTCAAATTCCACCTCCATATCCAATTGGTTCGATCTCCTATTCGGACAAGAAAACTTTGGTCCAGAGATAACACTTCTAACAGCATTCTGTCCAAATTTAGGCTTGATAGATTGTGAACATAGTATTCCGGATTGGTAGGGAACTCACCCACTGGCTTGGTAAGATTAAGTCACAGACGCAACGTATTTCGGCTTCGTTCCACCTGTTTGGAAACAATAAACTGCGCGTAATCCTCATATTGTTGACTTTCAGTCGGAGAGAGATTATTTAACACACGCTCAGATGTTACACAATTGCTAATTAAATCCAAAAGATGATTACACAGAGTATCCCGCTAATTGAGAGCTTTACGTCTTGTGTGATCGTGGTGAACCCGATTTCCGGTCTCACGATGAAATCGGTTTTAGTAATCGGTGGTTTAATTTTATCTTATTTTCCCATGACAATTTTATTCCCAAGTGGTGATATATATTGAGATGTATTGGCACGAATACGAATCTCTGAAAACGAGCTTGTTCGCCACTCTATTGTTTTGTTTGAAATGTGCTCTGTGGAATTATTTCAAAAATATATATACATATTTATATATATATATAGTTCAATGTAAATCTCATTAGTAGCTCGGAGAGTGGATCTGAGACGAGCAAGTTTCGAAGATTCATTAGAATTATTCTGTATCAGGTGTCGTGGGTTAGATAAGCCTAACCTCAGCCAACTCGACGCTGGGCCAATTTTCAGTGTTTTATAACGTGTACACACGAATGACTGGAAAAAATTTCCCAAAAGCACATGACAGCTAACTCAGTAGCTAACTCAAAATATCTTATATGGAAACAATGTAATGATTCTTCGAAACTTGTTCTACCCAAGTTCACTCCCCAAGCTGCGAATGAGCTCTGCACTGCCTAATTCACATTGGGAGTTCAAGTATGAGAATGACCAGACGGATACGCATATCTGACTAGCGGCAAGGACCACGGAACCGGTCGTGTGCTTCTGGGAGATTTTATCCATTCATTCATATACTACTCATTATATATATGTATGTATAACAAGAATAATAACAAGTTTTCATGTATTTCACCGTAGACATTTTGATGTTTTTGTCTGTTAGTTTGTCACTTCTATGGGGCATGGGATTTCAACAGGCGGACCGCACAACACTTGTGCCATGTCTCTAACAATGGGAAATCCCGATCCCTTGGGCCCCCACCTGGAAGGCAGCTGCATCAACCGCAGCCAAAGTCGAAGCCGCACTCATCATACTTCCACGCCATTTCATAGTTAGATCGCCGCGCGCTTCTTCCAGCCTTGCTTAGCACGTGCAAAGAGAGTACGGAAAGGTAGTCGATGGGCAGGCATACACAAAACGTGACCAAGCCATCGGAGGCGCTGTAAAGCGGTTACTTCTTTGAGAGAACGACTATTCACATGCAACACACGACGACGGACCGCTGCATTGCTCACTGGTTTTTCCACCAGACATGAGTAGCGCTTTAGATACAATGTTTATCAAATACAGAAGGTCGATTAGCATCCCCAACGGGTAGGGCCAGGTCGCGAAACCGTAAAGTCGAACACTACGAGTTGCGGCAAACTACACCCTGCTTTTAAGGTACATTCGGATGCCCTGCGGCACCATAGATGTTGCAGTTTGACAAAAGCTGCTCAGTGTTCGTTAGTTGTGATGCAATCTCTTCCCAAACACCACCTACAGCTGCGATCTAGCTCCCAAGGTACTCAAAGCTCTCGACTTATTCTAGCTGGCCACCAAAACGGGTAAGTGCAGATACATGCTTATGCCAATCTTTTTTTCTTTTTCATTTTTACTTCCGTTTACTGAGTACACGAAGATGAAATTTTTAGGAAGAGGGAAGCGGTCATTTAAAGGGCTGCTATATAACGCACAATGGAGAAAGAAGGGCGCTGCTAGGGGGATTAGAACACACTTCTTCCGTGGTGATAATTTGGTGACGTTATTAGCGGACCACCACCGCTTTTCACTTGGATGGTGCAATGAACATACCCCACCTTGATACCTCTATTTCCAAGCGTTTTAAAGCGTGTCAGACTGTCTGCACATTGTCATCAAGCAAGGCGATGCCATCAGTAAATTCTAAGTTAAGTATTTTGTGCCTATTGAATAACTTACCCAAGTTACACAAATACCATCTGGTGTCAAGTTTGCCTGTATAACTCTTTTTGGCCCATCTACTTCATTACTTATTTTATCTTTCTGCGCAGTCAGTTTATTAAAATATTTTATCACAAATTATACGCTTCAATTAGTCGCCGGTTCCTACACCTGGACCATATTTATCACTCAATGGGAGAGAGAGAGCGAGATTTATCGATGCTTGTGTTCCCGACTTGGTGTACAGTGCGGGGGTAATTCTTCTGAAGTATCTCATAAACTGTTTTTTCGATACTGTTATGCGAGACGATCAGAGGGCACTTTTGTCCGCAGTAAAGGATTTTAGGCCCAGATAAACCCTGCCAAGTACATACACAACACAAAGTTTTATCAAGCTGTTGAAACAATGACTCTGACTACGGTTGGTGCCATTCACCAAAATGTGGAAACTCTTGGCCACAATAGAATGAAGCAAGTTTGCATTTCTTACCTTCGAAGAAAAACATGTCCAGTACCCTCAGAACTGTGGCCCAAGGTAAGTTGCGTGTAAGTAAACACATCAACCAATCAATCGCGAAGTACATCGGTTCCACGGAATGCTTCAACTTGAATATAAGGGAAACAATGATTGTACGGAATAGGAGTAAGTAAGAATATAAATTTAACGATCGAAACAATGCATTCAGGTGATCCCCAATCAAATCACGGAGTCTCCCATCTGAACAGGACGGTTGTGCGTAGGCCTGGGAGCATGTACCAAGAGATCGTTTCCATTTTAAAGCCTGAAGTGGACCACTCAGTGCTTCCTGAAAAGATGTAATCGTCGTATAGGATTACGGGTCACTTCGTATTTTCGGCATTAGCAGACCCAGAAATATAATGGCTTTTATTATTTAAAGCGACTATTTCCTGGAATAAACTCGGATAAAAAACAAAACATATTGACTGAGCACGACTTATTATCGGAATAATGTCAGCTTGCTCCTTACTATAGACTACAAAATATTGTGTGTGAAGCAGGTGATGATGAGCTTACACAATGCCAATTCACTCTTCCATTCACGTGGTTACCACACGGACGACAGCCTGATGTTATACCTCCTTTTGATATGGTACGGGTTTTTTACACTTGATTGCCGTGAGCCATGCAAATCTTAGCAACCCTCGATTCGGGGTTTTGTAACCCGGAAGAATGATCCCTTATCGGCTTGGTGTCTAGGCTTCCGCAGATAGCGAGAAATCGAAAATGAAGGTATTCGGTAAGACTGGCCTGGTGAACTATTTGTTAGTGTTGCTCTTCGCCTTATTCGTTCGCGTTCGACGCAAGCTGGTACGCATTCGGCCACCGGATATGCCACTACCTTGCTGTTCTGTCCATGCATGTAT